TTCACATCGCCATTCGCGCCTCTATCATTAATTGCCTGCACTTCATTGATCCGCTGGTTCGGTCGTTGATTACTTGAAAGCTCATCGACTTTTACGATTCTCCGCACTTCATTCGACCGATTCGATTAATATTAACATTTGATCTAAGAGCCTCCCATTGCCGCCATATTACGCTTAAAAAGTCGTTCAAATTCACATTCGAATGATTGTGTGTATGTATGCACATATATACATATGTGACATGCGCTAATTCTCATGATGCACCCGCAGCAAATTGCAGTTGGATTATTGGTTATGCTTGATTATGTGTGTATGTTTCGTAACCGCGAGATCAATAAATAGACAGGCATTCTTCTGGTAACGCTTAGCCACACATCAACAGATTAGAAATGACAATTATAGGTCATTCATTGATCGGGTTTTATGATGCATCGCTTTGGGAAGTGGGACAAAGAGTCGCTTAAGCGTGACACATAAGTGACTTTTGTATTTATTTTACGGAAGTATTGCTTTTAATTGGATTCGAAAGAATGTGTTTGGTCGACGGGAGGTTGGGCAAGTCGGCAAATGGTACAAAATGTTTATACACGCGAGGGATATCACAGTTTAGTAAAAGGACTCCAGAGTTGCCTTGCAATAGCGACTGCTTCCAACATCGAAGGTGAAGCCTTAGAATGGTACTTTAACAGCCACGATAAGTCTTTATTAAGTGGATCCACATATTGGTGTGGATCTATATTCTATAAAGGGCGATCTTTTGTCTATCGAGGTGCTTATGGGATTATTTTACTTTAGAATCTCTCTTCTAAGGTTCGCTGATTAATACCTTAATATTGTGGTTGCGCGTTCTGGATACGTATTCAATAAGACTTACTGTGTAACTTACAATACTTAATGTGACACTTGCTCAAACGATCTAACCAAGCATTTTGCCGACTGTGAGCTCGCTGTACTGGCGATGCGGCTTGCTTAGAGTTTACCATACAATACAAGTCCAACGGAAAAAGATTAAAGAGAGTTTCGAGAGACTTTTCAAGAGTTGAAGGGAGCTCTGTTTATCTTTCACCATTTCCATTTCCTTAAAGATACATATAATGGGTAAAGTAAAAGGTTCGTTCGGTTTTTTATTGATTTTTCAAAATATGATAACTTTGTGTCCATTTGCTCGATTTAAGTCAAATATACGTTTTGTTCATAAACTTGTTGCCAACGATATGCCAACTTCAGTATACCCCTCTCGTAGAAAGCTGTGTCCCTCTTGGCGAAAAAATCTGAGAGGCAATTTTCACAGACCTCTCTTGAGGCCAACTTCCCACTGGGCGTTCGCCATGGACAGAAAAAGATGGTAATCACTTGCTGCTAGATCCGGACTATAAGGAGGGTGCATTAGGACCTCGCATTCGAGCTCGTGGAGCTTTTGGCGCGTCACCAAAGACGTGTGTGGCCCGGCGTTGTCCTGACGGAACATAATTCGGCCTCTGTTGATCAAAGATGGTTTTTTCTGGATGAGTGCTGCCTTCAAGCGGTCCAATAGTTGGCAGTAGAGACCCGAATTGAGCGTTTAGCCATAAGAGCGCAGCTCGTAGTAGATGATTCCTTGCAAATCCCACCAAACGCAAGTTGGAATGATTCGATTTCCCATTTCACCCCATCATGCGTTGGATTTTCAATCAAGAGGCACGTTCGCAGGAGTATTCATTTGATGCTGTTATTTTTGTAGTGTCGAAAAAAGATTGTCAATTTAGTCGAGGTTATCTGACGGGAGGCCTAAGAAGCGAATTGGTGTTAAATTACATGGTCTTAGGATTGGTAAAAGTCGCGCTGGACATGCGTTGGCCACGTCGTGGTCCAGTGCGGATAAATAGAAGTTAAGTCTACTACAATATTCAGAGTTTAGTTTAGCGAGTAGTTTGATCTCGGAACTCTCATCAAGCGCACCTAGGCCTATTGACCCGTTGTGATATTCAGACCTCAGTTGTGTAATCGAGTCTCATGATGCAGCTCTAGCGGAAATGGAAAATAATAGTTTCGACTAAAAACTGAAATTAAATTACGAATTTTAATACTATAAATTTATAAAAATAGTATCAACTTAAAAAAGAAAGGCTCCTTCGAATACAGCAAAATTGTGGTGTGACAAACTCACTTAAAGATGAAGCCTTAATATAACTGTCTTAAAGAATTAAACGATTGAGACACGCTCCCAACTGCTGATTTCCCCTCTTTCTCTTCTTCAATGTCTCGCCGTCCTACAACTGACAATAATGGCAGAGGTGAAAGCAGGAGGACAAATGCAACAATTTCCATGTAATTTGTTTTCTTTTTAGCCTAGCGGCAAGCTCGATTTGATGTGCTCATAGGTGATCACGATATTTTGGGGCAATTCTTTTTATTAGATTTTTTTCCTTAGAGGTTTGGAAGGAACAAGAAAGTGTTTACCAGGACTTCCAGCGACTTGGTCTAGAAGATAAAACCTAGTATGCTGCCTTATGGGAACTCAGCTTCAATGCAATCCATAGAACAGAGATCGGTGCAGATATTATTGTATATATACGTTCTACCACACCCTTTTAAAACCTTGATATTTGCCTTACAAGGCATATGAAGCTTAATTTTTGATTTGCTCAAACACCGATTGAATTTTATCAACAAGCATATGGACTTCCTTAATCGCAGAGTTCTGTTGTCTCATATTAAAATAATGACTTGGAATTAGTGGTTTGAGATCGAATGATTTCGTCATTTTTAGTGAGTTTTTTAAACACTTTTGACTAACGTCCCTGGTTTGATCTTAGCTACCTTGTACAACCGGTAAAATGATTTTTCATTGACGAGCTTCGCCAAAAAGCTGGTCCGATACGGTCATGAATGGTCGTGGATAGTGGGGCCCAATATCTGACGTCAAATGACTTTTTTGGCAATACCACTTGATGAGATTCCTCCAGTAAGGTAGAAAAAAACTGATAAGTTGAAGAGTAGCTTGTAACTTCGTAAGTAGTCAGAAACGTTTAGATATCACCAAAGGCCTAGGAGTATTCGGGTTTTCGAAATGGCGATCCTCGATCGATTGTGGCGTTAATTTTATGTAAGCTCTCAACAGAAAATAGTTGTGGTTGAGTGTTTGTTTCAAACTTACTTCAAATTGGTACATATCTACACTTCGGAGTGCCTTTGTCTTTTTTGTATAGCTATTATTGTAGTTCTTCTGTAAGTTTGTTGTACCTTTGTCTGCATAAAATCCCAGTTTCTTGTCACCTAACGTTTTTATTCTGCTTTAGTTTCAATGAGCTTATTGTGCTGAACGTGCGTCTGGTTGACATTTTTTAAAACACTTCTTAAATTTGGTAAGGTATTCAATGACCTCAATAATATCTCTCCAGCCATGGTGGCCATCACCAATGAATGATCTGAACAAATAGCAGGACCAGTTTTGTAGAAGGCTTGTGCATTTAATAGCACTTTCGTTACGTAGAAATCGATGAAATCAGCTTCCGGTCCTCTGGAAGAGAATATTTTCAGGTAAATAAATCTGGTTGCTTTGACTAGCCTGTAAGTCGGGCACCCCACAGTGACCTCTTCTCATACAAAGTAGTGGCAGCAAAGTGTTTTAAAAAATTTAACATAATCTTCGCTTTTTATTTTGTGTTTCTACGTGCTATAGATGGCGTTAAGGATCATAATGTTGCTGTATAAGCAACTACTTGATGGAAATAATCAACATGAGTCTTTATTCAGCCACCTTAAATTGAACCGCTAAACAGGACGACATAGAGACACGCGAGGCAGTCCTTTATTTATTGTTTCACATATGTCTGTATAATTCCAATGTGCAAACTTTATTATAAAAAAGGATTTCATGAAAAAAAACTGATTTTAAATGCATTTTATTTATGTTCGATTTGTTATATTCGACAGCCAGCTTGGGCTTTAATTCCCAATTCGCCCCAATCATTATTTGGTGAATTGTCAGATTTGGCCGTGCTAAAGTTTTTACAAAACCTGCTCCATTTGCGAAAATGACGAAGTAATTTCAATTCAGAAGTAAAAAAAACGAAAAATATTCATTTTTCTTAATACTTTTTATTCAATATAATATTGTTTATATTTATTTGGGTCGTTTTGTTTTTATACATTTTACTTTGCGTTTCATTGGTTTTATTGTGTTTTATGTTAAATTCTTCTGCAAATATTCCTTTTTATAAATTATGATAATTTTTATTTTCTTTTATTATTTATGCATTTGTTATATGTGTATGTATAATATTTTATTTTTGTATAGGATAGTATGAACTAGTGTGTGTGATAAAGGATATTAGTATACAATAGAGATGATATATAAATACAGTAAGTTTTTTATTGTTGCTTTTTACTCAGTTAGTTTTTTCGCCATATTAATAATCGCTCCTTTTTTTACATACACGATATTATTAAATATGAAAATAAGTGTGTGTTGTTTACAGCAATTAAAATTATATGTATGTATGTTTGTAATAAAAGAGCGGCAAAAAAAAACTTAGTTGCACACATGTACATGCATAGAATTATGTTTAAAAAAATTTATATATTTAAAGAAATTATTTATATAGAAAAATCTTTTAGGAAAAATATACTGTTAAAAAAACTAAGTTAAAAAATAACGATAATAAATATAATATTAATAATCAATAGTACAACTTTTCAAGTTCAAAATGCAAACAGACACATGTAGGGTATTTGTGCTGCCTGCGGACTAATTAAGGGAAGCAAACGATTTCGTGCATACATATATATAAAAATAATGAAATATGTATGAATGTATGCCGCGTCATTTTATACATTTTTAATTTTATTAAATAATTGCATTTGTTTTCTAAAACGACTCACATCAAAAATAATCACAAGAATAGAAATAGAAAGAACGCTGTGTGTGTATGTGTGTCTAACTTAAGTAATACTAAAAAGAGCGAACTAAAATTTAAAAAAATATATAACAAAGCTGTTTTCAGTTCACAATTTTTTTATTTTTTTGTTATTTGATTGTGTTTTTACAATTCATTACGAGACATTCCTTCAAACGCTTACTTTTTCCATACGAACGAGAATTTTGCAACGTAAAAAATACAAAATACGATATTTCAAGGCATTTCATTTAGCAGCAGCAGTAATTTAATAACTAATTACGCATTCCTATGTAAATCTTTAGTTTCTTTAGCAACAGATCGTAAAAAACTGATATAGAATTTACGAGCGCATAGTGCAACATTTTTTTTTTTATATACATATGTATGTATACTTGTGCATGTACTGAGTTTTTTTGTTTTTTGTTTTTACTTCTACATTAAATTAAAAATTAAATTGAATTTAATTATGAGCGCTTGCCATTGATGTGCGCCAATATGTATGTGTATGTAGGTGTATTTGTTTGCTTGCCATTTAATTTGTCTCCTCCCTTCTGCGCATAGTAGATTGGCGAAATTTAATTTTTTTTTGTTTTTTTTTTTTAATTTTGAAATTTGAGCTGACTCTTTTTTATAATACCTTACATTTTCCAATACACTTTTTGACACACTTGCCAAACCGGCGTTTGTGGCACAGAGTTACCTGTGCTGATTCGATATGCGCTAGCGATGAATTATCTGCTTTTACTTTTTTGCTTTTTCTTCATTAAATTTACATTAATTCCACCATCATTGATAGTCTATAAAACAACTTTTCGTTTCTCTACTCTCCACTTAGCACAAATATTTTTGCTTTTAATTCGTTTTTCAAAGTCTTTGCGGTGTATTTACGCCTTCTGCTGTTCATTTCTATCATATGTTTGTATTTATGTGTGTATGTGAGTTTATATGAATGTATTATTCGTATATAAGTATGAATGCGTTTGGTATAAATAGTTTTTATGTATATATATGCACTTGTGTCTATTTGCATAGAGTTTCTTTATTCTGCTTCTGTTTTTCATATCATCATATTTCTATATATATTTACTTGTATTTATATATTGTACGATTATTAAATTACTTTTTACATACGTATTTAAATTAGTAATATTTTGTTTCTGCATAAAGTTAAGTAGAAGAAAGAAATGAAGACAAACAAACAAAAATTGAAAAATTGTTTTATATTTTATTATTTTGTATTGTAAATATAGTATGTATGTATGTTGATTAGCAACTAAGGAAATACTAGAGGCATATACATATATATCGTCGCCACATATTTGCCATCCATCATTATTGGCTACACTTTATACTTCGCAATCATTTATGTAATATCACTTTAGGCGCAGAAATACATACTTGTATACTACGTATGTTTTCATGTATGTACTTGAACATTGCTTTCATTTGCATCTTTCTTTGTTTTTTTGCTTTGCTAACTAACCTTTGCTTCTCGGTTGTCTTACTAGTTTTTGCGACAATTTTCCCTTTACTTTCAGTTTTTCTATACAGTAATTCTTTTCGCTTTTCACTTTTCCCCGCTTTTCTTCATTTCTTTGATTGTACAGTTAACTTTCAATTTAAAAATTTCATTTCTCTCAGTTTTTTCAACTTTGCGCTGAAGCATTTTCTACATTTTTAATAATTAATTTGTCTCTTGTCATTGCATTTTATCCAATCATATTGACACGCATATGCCAGCGAGCTGCGCCTTGCCTTATTAATTAAGTAAGCGACTTGACTCCTTTACACCTTTCATTCTAATAGAAATCAGTACGGAAAACTATGCGTTTAAAAACATGGTTTGAATTTGTTGTTTTTTCTTTCATTTCCTTTCCTTTTTTCTTTTATATTAACCATATTTGCAGCGGACATGGACATGACTTTGCATGTGTATTTTTGTGTGTAGGGATTGTGTATAGCTCCTCCTTCATGTGTATTTGTTCTTTATCGCACGCGCGATATTGTTCTAAAATAATTAAAAAATAGAAAATTTAATTAATTTGAAAACTTTTGCACTTATTATTCACAATTCAACTAACCTTGGCGACTGCACTCGTCGCTTGGGTGTATTTGGCGCTGTCACTGCTACTCGACTGGTGGGCGTGCGCGCACGCGCTGTTGGTGTCGTAACCGTCGCCGCTACTGCTGTTGTTGTTGGCGCACCAGCTGTCATGCTGTAACGCTTGGGCGGCACAATGCGACTCGGTGAGCGTGTTGTCTTTCCATGCGCTTCTTGTGTACTAATTCTATTAAGTTTTGAATAGATATTTAATTGAGTGGTTTTTGCTTTCTCAAGCATTTGTAAGACAGGCTTCAGGTTGCTATTATAATTGCGTGCTCTACATGCCATAGCAAGCAAAATTATAATTTTTATGTCAAAACAAAATAAGTTGATGTTGTAGGTATGTTGTTGTTGTGTGTTTTTGCAGGGACAATATTTACAGGTGCAATACGCGCATATAGAAACAATATTTTGATGTATAATATATATATATATATATTTTTTTTTGTTGGCCAAAAGTTTAGGTTGGGTGTAAAAGATTTGTTTTAGAGCATTCATGAAAGTAAAACAAAAAAATATGTGAACAAAAAGAGCGGACAATGATTTAAATCATATTTGCTACAACATTACATGGATTGGATGATGTGCAAGTAATGCGAGATTAATAATTAATTCATATAAAAGTATCTAACTAATAATTTTATTTATTGTTTTTTTTTCTTCCTTTAATTGTTACTACTACTTTTACTTTTACACTTTTACTTTTACTCTTACAATTTTATAAGAATACATGTACATGGCGACTGCTAATCGAGTGGTTGTCCTTTTTTAGAAACCTTATAGAAGCCAACGAACGAACTCTTTTTGTGGAGTTTGAAGCACATTATCTCGGCTTTTGTATTGACCTCCATTGAATGCGATTGATAAACCACTTAAGACAGACGTTCAGATTTGTCTAAGCCAAAGGACATTCCCGGTTCGCCCAAAAATCAAAATTATAGAAAATTAATTTATCTAATCGCCCCTCAGGAATGTCAGGCCTGCCGAGTGTATTTCTGACATCAGAATTAAAGTTCCTCATAAAAACCCATCGGCAACTGTAGGTCCCTCCATTTTTATTAGGTCCCTCCGTTCTTGGAAAAACATCAAGAAACAGCAAACCACAAGTCGAAGGTGGAGCTTGGCGAGAAACCCCTTCAGATGCTACAAAGCGTCAATTACGCATTTTCAAAGAGCGCTTAAAGTAAACTAAATTTCGGAAAACCGAATGCAATAACATACATACTTTGGCATGCCAACTCTGCCATTTAAGAGTTGATTAACGTTCTCTCACGAATCGCATTTATATTCGATTAAGTACTGCCAGGCCCCCTTAGACTATACTCATTTGGAGATGAGGGCCTTAAAATCTTTACATTGTAGCAATTTTAATACTTTTGGACGAATATTCTGATAATTTTCACATTACAAGAGCGCCGCTTTAAAATTTTTGAGAAATATTTACATTCTGAGAGAACTTTTTCAATTTTTGTCAATAATGAAATCCAAAGAATCTTGCAAATATTTAAGAAAATTTTCTGACTTATGTTCATACTAAGGTTATGTTCTGGCGGTGCCTCCATTTGTTGGAAGAAGGTGTTGAAAAAAAAATTATCGGGTTTCTTTCTTATAGTCACTGAGCCAGTGATTAGTAAGACATTTGAACACTATTTTAGAATTATAGTGGGTAAAAAATGTTAAAACAATAAAAAGTTTTCCAATAAGAGATGTTATTTGGAATATTCTGATATTGCGTTAGATGTCACTTTTATAGCTGTAATTTTTTGACATTTTACAAGCAACCACTACACCATTAGAAAAAATGGAACGATAAACGCTTCAACAATGTATTGAAATTATTAAAATTCAGTCTAAAAATTTCATCGAAAAATCATCTTGACTGATTTTTCCCTTTCTCTGACATAGCCAAGATGTCAATAAGCAAACTGTCAATTCCGGATCTCGGAAAATTCAAGATTTTTTTTTTTTTTGAAAACCCTCTCCATTCTCAACGTATAGCTGTTTGGTGCCGTTTATGGTCCGGCAGGGATATTGGACCTTATTTTTTCCAAAATTAAGTGGAATGCGCAATGATGATTAAGGATTTTTTATGGTCGGAATTGGCTGGTATTGATTTGGAACGCATTTACTTTCAAGAAGACCGCGCTACGTGCAGAACAAGCAACGAAATCATCGATCTTTAAGGAGAAAGTTTCTTTGAACGTCAAAATAACACCTCTTTTTGGTCAAACCGTTATAATTCGTAAACAACTATACTAGTACTTTTCAGATTAGAGACTAAAGTTTAAAAACAAATTGGATTGAAAATAAAATTGTAGTGTTAAGTATTCCAAATAAAGTATAGCAATATAAATAGATTTCAACCATATTTATGAACACAGAACTCATAATAACTGCAACAAACAGCTACACACTACAAAACTACTACTACTACTACAACTACGACTACTTTTGCTACCATTTCCATATAACCGTAAGTTTATAAAACCACTTATACTCACTTTCCCGCTGGATAGCTGACCGGTCGCGGTATGCGCGACTTATGCGCCGCATTGGCTGCGGCCACCGCTGCCGCTGATGTCGCTGTTGCAGCCGCCGCCGTTGGTGTCGAACCACCACTCTTTGTCTCTTGTGCGCTAGCCAAATCCTTCAACATCGTCGAGTCTTTACTCATCAGTTCCCATTGTATTTGCAAACGCTTGAAGCGATTGCTTTCAATCTTACGTTTCTCCTGCTCATCAAGTGTTGCCAAACGCTTGGCCGTCTGATGTTGCTCCATTTGTGAGGAGCGACGCGCTACTGTATCCGTACGGCCATTTGCTACCGAGTTATTCGGTGAATTGGGTGGCGTTGTGAAACGCTGACGGGTTTCGGGTGGCAAAGATGGCTGTGGTAACTGTTGTTTTTGCTGTATACCCATTACATCGACTTCTGGTTCGTTCTCGGTTAGTGTGTGTATATCATTAAACGAAACCTTCTTCTGTTGACTTAGCGCGCGGCTCACTTCTTTCTTGAGCGCTGCCGGATCGTATGCCACTTGGTATTCTGTTGATGATTCTAATATGGCCGCGATTTCGGCATAGTTCTTTAGCTCAGAACGTGGTAATGTTGATAGGAAACGCATGCGCGCATCCAAATCTTTGCGTGAGAGACGCTCTTGACGCGTTTGTGGCACTGCATACAGTTCAGCCTCCTCTTCGAAGACTTCGCCCAATTCCTCTGACGAACCGACACCGTGGTGGTTATAGGGTGGTTCTTGTAGACTACGACGTTTCTCTTGCTTCGACAATTTCGACTGCTGTCCCTCAATCATGGAATTGCGTTTCAAGCGATTCGCAGAATGTGATGAAGATTTACGTAGAATGCCGCGTGGCATTGGTTGCGGCGGTGTTTTGCCCATAGCTGGACTCATTTCAACACCTGAGTCCATACGTTGCTGTTCATATTGATATATGTACATTTGCTTTAAGGGATCAGCATTCTCGAGATCAGCAGAGTCAGCTAATAGCGTAGATGAACCGCGATAACCAGAACTGGGCTGTTGACTAGAGGCGGAGCTCGACGAACCTTCCTCGCCAGTATGTACCTGTGTCTGTTGTTGTTGTTGCTGAAAGTATTGCGCACAATCACAGATATGTGGTCGATTACGCCGTATGGGTGGACTCATGCAGAATAGGGGACGCTGTGACAGCTCAGCATCCAACTCCGGCAACATGCTATTCACCTCTGGAATGTGTTTTAAACGCCGACGGTAGTCCGCCGGCAAAAGTGTCGTCAACGATTGCCAATCCACTACGTGTTTGTAGTCCATGGCTTTGAGTATCTCATCGTCTTTACTATTCAGACTGAAGCGTTTCTTTAGCGATGATAAAGAAGTAGCACTATCATTGTTACCAACAGCCGTTTTGTAGTTAAACGGCGTGTAAATAACATCTGCCGTTGAATTAGTCTTCACAAACCCCAAGTCGGGCAATGCATAATTTGGATAGATAACGTATATTGGCGCCTGCCTCTCTTCGCCTAAATTGTTGAGCTTCGCCAAAAACGAAGGCGGCACGAAACGGAAACGATCGCTCAAACTACTGCGTGTACTCAGCGAGCCGCAAGAAGTTTGCATTGAGCGAGAAATCACTTCCGAGCTCGAAGCGGCCGAAACCGTGGGTTGTGGGGCATCGCAACGTGACCTTTGACGCTCCAACGTAGTGGACGAAGTGCCCGTTGACACATAAACTTGCGTTAGTTGTTCCGAGTTGCTACGACTATTCTCCGACGATTGCAAACTACATGCCGTACCAACGTCTTTGTGTTGCGTTACCAGTTGGCACAATTGGGGATGTCGTGGCGGCATGCTGCGTCGTCGATGCGCAGGCGAATTGGTTGCTGTCAATGAACCGCTTGAGCTTGAGCTTGGATCTTCATCATAGAAAACAGCATCGTTACGTATACGTAAATGCCGTCGGGTGGGCGTTGGATGACCGGGATGGCCGTGATGTGACTCTGCCTGGAATGCCGCTTCGCAAGTATCACGCACTTGCCCACACAATTGCTCCTCATCCTCATCGTGCCGACTCAGCGCCGAACCCTTACCCGAATCATTCATGCTCTTCTTGCGCAAACGCTGCTCCAACGATGAGCTACTACTCGAACCGGCCGCATCACTTGACGGCCAACATCCGGACGACACATCCATGCAGGTGTGCGTGCTCATCAGCTGTTCGTCTGTAGCGGAATTATTGCTCTTCTGTTTGATAAATAGTTTGACTAGATTGAAGGCGGGCGGATTCGAGCTACCCGATGAAGCGGAACCCGAAATGGGTGCATGCTTTTGCACGGCGGGACAATTGTGACTATTTGTAGCGGCAACGGCAGCGGCGGCGGCGACGGTGGCATGTGACGTTGGCAAACAAGCGCAGCGATGCTTGTGGCGATGCTGTTGCTGCTGCTGTAGCTGTTGCTGTGTGAGTTCGGCATTGCTGAGACGCTCCAACGACGTAATGGAGGCGATAATGGAATTTGACGTAGAGATTGGCATCTGGCACATGGGAAGCAAATTACGCGATGTCTTGCAACACTCCATGTTAGAGGTGCTAATCGCTTGTGAAACATTTAACTGTTGTTGCTGCTGATGATGTTCTTGTTGGGTGTGTTGTTGCTGTTGCTGTTGCATATCCAAAATGTTACTGCAAACCATTGCGGTTGGATCTTTGTGTTCGCGCAGATTTGGTAGACTGCGACTTTTGCGCACCGTGCAGTTGGGCGCGTGTTGTATATGCGCCACGATAATGTTGTTAGCGGCGGTGTTATTGTTGCCCGAAGGATATCTGTGCAGGTGAATAGATGTATAATTAGTAAAAGCGCAAAAAACAAATGAAAAATAATAAATATTTCTAGCAGAAAAATTGGATAAAATTTCAATTTTATATAAACAAATAAAAACCTTCGCCACGCAGCATTTGCCAACTTACTTTAACTGTAAAAATGCAACAAACTTTAAAATCGCATAAATCATTTATTGTTTGCGTAAATATAATGACGCTATCCGTCCCTAAGCCCTCAAAACAAATATTATCTACTCACCACCTAAGTTCCACACAGTCTATTTCCTCTGCTAAACACATATATACATACATACATGCATGCATACATACATACATATATACTTTCATAAAAACCAAGTATGAGTAATGAATTTAAATTGAACTCAATTGAATTGACCCCACCAACCGTTCGAGTAATCAACATAACCAGCCAACAAGCCCAGTCCTCGAGCGTCATCACTTACATTATACACTCTCTCTTCTCCACTTTCATAAAAATAAATAAATACGCTCGTCTGCATATGGAAATATAAGTGCAGCTATACTTAGGTATATATAGTATACTTACATATAAATATATATATATTTATATATGTATAGACATATGTATGTACATAACTACAATAATAAGATCTGAGGTCTGCTGATCGCTGTCATTTTCATTTGTTATCGCGTGTGGAACGGAAATTTCGAACGGAATATTCATTATTCAAAAATGTGTGGTTCTATGTACATATACATACATACTTGTATATGTGTTTGGAATCAAACTATATTTGGAGTTACGTATGTACAACCTGTCTCAAGAGCAAAACTGCAAATGTGCAGAAAAAAGCCTCCCAAGTCTAATATTGGAACAATCACTTCTCTTAGCAACCATCTGATTTCGATTATTTTGAATTAAAAATTCAAACTTAAAAAATAAAATAAAAAAATGGAAAAAAATAATTAAAAAAAAAAAGTATAAAATAAATAAAAATTATATAAAAAAATATAGAAAATAAAAAAATAGATTAAAAAATATAAAAAAAATTAAATGAAAAATATAAAAAACTAAAAACTTAATTAAAGAAAAATGAATTAAAAGAAAATAGATTTCAAAAAAATAACTTAAAAAATTTAGAAAAAAATAAAAAAATCAACAAAAAATAAAAAAAAATTTAAATATATTAAAAAAAGTAATTACAAAAATTAAAAAAATGTATAAGAAATTGTACAAAAAAAAAATTAAAAAAAAACGTATTATAAATTGAATATTTTTTTGAATTAAATTGAAAAAAAAACTAAAAAAAGCATTTAAATTAAAAAAGGCAAATAAATAAAAAAAATAAATAAAAAATATAAAATAAAAAAATAAAAAAAAAATAAAATCTATAAATAAAATAATTTTAAAATTATGCAAAAAATTAAAAAATTATATTAAAAAAAATGCTAAACATTATTTATTATTTTTTATTTATTTATAAGAAAAATAATATTAAAAAAAATTAATTTATAAAAGATTTAAAAAAAAATAAATATATAAAAAATAAATTTAAAAATTTTAAAAAATAAAAAAATGTAAAATAAGTATTATAAATTTAAAAAAATTAATAAAATATTTTAACATTAATTTAAAAAACTAAAAACTAAAAAAAATATTATTAATTTTATAAAGTTAATAAATATATAAATATATAAATTTAAAGAATTTAGAAAAAAAATATTAAAAAGAATCTTAATGTTTAAATGAGAAAAATCATAATTAAAAAAAGATTTAATAAAATGACTAAACCAAAAAAACAATTAGCGTTTTTTAAGGGCTTGCTCTTTTGAATTACCATCCGGATAAGACGGAACGTCTGCGAGGTTCAATGCGAGGTTAAATGCGTCCAAAATCACGAATAATCAAAAATTGAAAAGTTACCAATTTTAATTATTGAAGTGAGTTCTGCTCCTACCAAAATCTTGAGACAATTCAAAAGAGATGTCAAATGTGACCAACTCGCCAAGAGACATTCTTGTTAAATTTTTCAATAAATTTTGTAAAAAAAAAAAAAATACTGTGAAACAGTAGTCTGTAAGACGTTTAAAGGTTCAAACGTTTAGTAATAAATATATCCTCTACCTTAAAGCAATACCGTTTATAAAAAAGTAATTATTAATTTCTTAAAAATAATTAAAAAAAAATCGTAATCGATCAACACTTTGAGTATATACGAGTTTTCTTGTGATACGCACCTCTGCAATTGCGTTGTGTTGCTCTTTTGTAGCTTGCCGCGTCCAGCTGAGGCGGCCTGCTCCGACCGCGACATGGAGAAATCCAGAGCTCTGCCCTTGACAATATCCTCTAAGTTGCTATGCAAATTAATGAAATTATGTGTATTTCTTGCGGCGACATCCGAGGGTTCAGCTGTGGAAAAATAAAAATAAAAATCATTACAAATAGAATAAATACTGAAGTGAATTCACCAACTAACCATAGAAACTCTCATCAGAGTACAGGACGCTGCCCTCAAAAGCGATTGTGTAGTTATCTTTGTTGGCCTTACACGTCAATATGATATCTTCATTTTCGGGATAGGCATCCATATCCAACGAATCGGCGGATAAGTGCGACTCTTTGACCGGCGAGAAGAGCAACTCCGATTTACAAATGGAATTGTCGATAAGCTCATTGTTGGAGATGAGTGAGGCTTGCGATAGTTGATTGATACTACCACTTACAGCAACGCCATCACCACCATCGCCACCAGTGCACGCCTGTTGTTGTGCATTTGACTGCAACATATTTGAATGTTGCAAGATGTAAGATTGTTGTTGCAGGCGATTACTATTTGTCATATTCTTGCAGTACGATGGCATATGAAGTAAGATATCTTCGGCGCGAAAACTCTCCATATCAACTTCGGCAAGATTAGCATCGAGTTTTTTCGAGAAATCATTATAGAAGATTATGTCACCTTGATAGGAGCCCGATAGCGATGAGAAAATACTACGTTGCAGTCCACTGCCGCAGCCATCACGATAGTCGCAGTCCAGTAGCCACTGATAATCGGAATTGTCATGAGTGAAATCGTGGGAAGAAGCAATCGAATAGTTTAAATTGTTGCCGGCAACATTGTTGCCAAAATAACCAGCACCAACACCACCACCACAACCACCACCATTAATATTATTACTAACACCTATACCACCACCATTACCACCGCCACCGCCACAAACTGCAGCCGCTGCGTTGGCTAAACCTACCAAATGCTGATGCTGCTGCAACATATTACTATCGAGCGGCATGCTGTGACGCGACCCAGGCGTTGTTGCATTGCTATTGTAATCCGATTCGGGTGTTGCCGGTGCTGCCATGGTATTGCCACTATTAAAAAGGAAATTATTGTTCGCACCGCCAATGCCACCCAAACTGTCCACCAGCAAACTGTCGTCGATGAGCACACTGCTCTGTCCGCTCACTTGTTCATTCAGTATTATGCTGCGCAATGCGTTATTGTACCGATCCAAATTGTTCAGTACTATTGCGACATTCTGCTTCAGACTCTCCTCGCTCAGTTCGTCGTCGGCGTCTTTGGCGCACAGCAATTGCTGTTGATGCTTTTGCAAATGCTGTTGTTGCAGCAGCAAATCATTCAGATGCTGCTGATATTGCGTCTGCGTTAGAATTGGCAGCGTTTTGCTGCTGCGCAAATGTTGTTGCAATTGATGTTGCTGTGCCGTGGCAGCTGCTGTTGAGTTGCTTCTTTTCTGCGCGTATTGTTTTTGCTGCTGCTGCTGCTTCTGTTGCTGTTGCTGGTCTTGCTGGTGTTCTCGTTCGCCGTAGTTGTTGTAGGCGAAGGTAAACGGCGAATTATTGGGACTGTTCAATGGATTCTTATAGTGATGCTGTGGCGATTGAGCCGCCGATGTGGGTGATGAAGTGTTATTTGTTGTTGTTTTAATGAAGTTATTACTGTTAATGTTTGATGATTGATTTGCAGAAGAATTTAAAGGCAAAAGCGTTTGCTGATTATTTCTATTATTATGCGTTTGCTTGAAAGCGTAAGAAAAATGTTGATTTAAAATATTATTGGCGTTATGTTGGGGAGAATTTGGATGAGGTTGGTTTTGTTGTTTTTGTTGTTGTGATGATAATGATGTTGATGATAATAGATTCGGTTGATGGTATTGTTTCGTTTGGATTTTAGCGAAATGACGTGGTGAATTTTGAAGCGGTTGTGATAGATGTGATTTGTTGTTGATATCGTTGTTTGTTGAGAATTCTGTCATGCCACGACGGAATTTTTGTCCTGCAAAGAACAGTGAAAGAGAGAGAAAGAGAGAGAGAGGGAATTAGTCGTAAGTAGAGACTATATCATGACTACTACAATACAAGTGAATAGAGTAATGAGAGCTGATGCGATAAATGTGGTTGAATTCAAGTGGATAAACGGTGTAACAATAGTAAATCGACCACAAAGACATCTCAGTTGTTGGCTGCATAATGTAAACCAGGAAAATGTATGAAAGCTATACATCTTACTTTCGGTTGAGCTTTTGTGGTGTGTCTCTTATTTTCAGTGAGTTTTCAGAACAAGAACAAAAACTTTTTAGCTGTTAATCTGGTTGAAATACACGATCGACGACTCATGATATTTATCAACAGTAGAATTTTTGAAATTATCTAATAAAATAAATGATCTACAATGCAGTTTTGGCTAAAGATCCGATTCTTGGAATGCAAAACGTGCTAAGCCAAATAATTTGTATTTCAAAACCTTTTTCGATAATGCACACACATGGCAACTAATCTACAGTACTTGGTACCTAATATATAATATTTTCAATATATAGGACTAGATTCTTCGATTTTATTGCGTACTCCCTTAGATAATTGCCATTGGAGACACCAAAAGAAATTTTCAATGAAGAGGAAATCTTCCTCTTTATCAACTTTTTCTACAGAAACCTTTCATACAAACCAGTTTAGTTGCTGCTCATACGTACTAGGTATCTTAGAGGACTGTCGCTACATCACTTTATAATGTTAAAAAGAAAGAAACAGAAAGAAACCCTTTCCCAGCCCTAAACATACTTTATGCAGATCCAAGTAAAGTTTCTTGTAAAGAAAAATTCTCAATACCTTTTAGTGTGTTCTAGAACCTTAAAGAATTTGTGAGAGTTAACCAATAAGCATTTACATGCGTAGTTTTTTCTGAATTGGGAGGCCAAATGAGAGAGTAAATACTGCTCACATTCAAACATCTCAAGAGGAATTCAATTATAACTCGCTCTGACAATTATACAGATTTCTAACCGAAAAACTCTGGTTGGGAATGCTCGGGTTCAACACCCAAAAAGGTTTTGGAAAAATAATTTAAATAAAAAATTAGGTTAAATTTTCTAATAGCGGTCGCCCATCGGCAGGGAATGTCAACCCCTCCGCGTGACATGAAATAAAAATCTCCTCATAAAAAACTATCAGCCGTTCGGAGGCAGCTAAGTGTAAACTGTAGGCCCCTCCATTTGTTTCAAAAACATCAAGACGCAAAACCACAAATTGAAGAAGGAACTCGACCGAAAATCGCTTCAGCGGTTACAAAGCACTAATTATATGTCTATAATTAGAGGGATCTCTTAATTACGTTACAGTTACTTAATGGTAGTTCCACTAACTCTTTGATGTGACGTCTTTTTCGTGCTAATCTTATTTTTTTAATAAAAATCGACCGCTTTAAAAGAAAAATTAAAAAAATATAATTTTAGCCACTGAATAAATGAATTCTTGGACCTTTTTGTGGTGGATCACACTACACCAGAAACCAAAGAACAATCAAGACTGGGGTTTTCTGCGTAATTGTGCACCATAGAAGGCCAAGGTTGGTCTGTCGGCCAAAAAATGTCATGGACACAGTTTTTTGGAGGGGTCAAAATAAAAACAATCGCCGTGGAATATTATTCCAAGCTTTTGGACCGCTTCGATATTTATTTCGAAACAGTTACAATCGCATTTGGCGAAAGAAAAGTGTGCTGTTCAAACAGGACAATGCACAAGTGCACACACTACCTCTTACAGCATATTCCCCAGATTCACCTCCCTACGACTATTTCTTAATTCCAAACCCGAACAAATTGGTTGGACAATGAGAGATTCGGATCATATCAAGAGGTGAGCACAAAAACACGCGCCTATTTTGAGGGACTTGAACTAAATATATTATTTAGAAATATGGACTAAATGTATAGAGCTAAGAATGCTATTAATTGAGATATGAAACTGATATTTATCGAAAAACATATATTTTATTCAAAAAGTGACTGACTTATCCAACCAAGCACCCTCGCATTATATAATATTTTCTGTTTAAAAGTATTCCCAAAAATAATTTAAAAAAATCTTCAACTTCAATGTCCTCTAAATGCCAATACGAGTATCGTCGAACAGTTCCGTGCCAATGGGCTTAGTGACAAAAATTTCGAAGTGAAATTACCATATCAATTTTTTTTTATCGTACTCTAAACGACTGTTGGATTTTAATGAGGGGCTTTTTATTTTAAGACAGAAATATTCTCTAAATTGCTGGCATTCACTGCCGAATTCAGGCGAAAAATGTATAAGACTTAAAAAAGAATATAGAAAACTAAATTGTGAACCTGCAACTGATTCGTCAAGGCTTAAAAATTTAAAAAGTCATATAAAATATAATTTTAACACCATTACATTATTTTAATATACCACTATTTGTAAAAAAAATCTATAATTTTTTCCTAATAATATTTTTTAGATTATACGTAAATTTGCTTTATAACGGTGTACATCGTAAAAATGCCAAAAAAAATACGCACAAATAACGATTTACTTTTCTAGTGCTTCATGCCTAAATAAAAGTCAACACTACAATATACATATATAGAAAAGAAAATCACTAAGCAACTAGTACAAATTGTCCCATTGACATTGAGTGGGGTACTTACTACCACCGGCCTAATGCATCTACAACACCTCGCAATATCTCGTATACATCAAGGCAGCGCAAGTAAGTAGTGATGCACTTTTACGACTTCACAGCAAATCAAAAGAAAATTAAAAGAAAAATCGAAAATGTCACACCATCTAATAAGAGGAGATATATATACATATATATATATATATATATATATATATATAAATATGTATATCTAGAAGTAAGCAAGTGATTTTGATTGATTTTTTTTTTATTTCTGTAAAATTTTATGTGAAAAACTATTTATTTTACAGCTTTGAAAATTAGAATAATTTTCATATAAGAAAAACGCATCTTAACACAATTGACAGCTATAAAAAATTGTAATTAAATTTGAGGAAACATTGAACTTTTAATTTATTATGTATTTTTTTCGGCGTTTTTGTCACGCAAAGTACATACATACATATATAAATGAAAAAATACTTGAATTTATACGGCAAGTGTAAGCCCACATGCTTCATATTAAAATGTATATAAAGATGTATAGAGATATATCTATAAGATACTTAAATATAAAGTCATAAGCACGCAACTCATGAATGGTAAGGAGAGATGCGAACAATATACGCGCATATATTGTACTTTTTGCTTTATACATCAACTTGAGATCAAAAATAAAATATTCACGTTTAAAAAAAAAAAATGGCCGCTTGAATTCCCCAAAATAATTTTTTTTTTAACAGGCAAAACATGTTGCATTACTTGCCAAGGCAGTCCGGTAGCCCAGCAGCCAATCAACTCAGCGAGGCCAACGAGCGAGTGGCAACAGCACCGCATATTTATGTATCATGTAGACAAATCACCCATTTCATTATTACAATGTGTACTGTAAGCGTATTTTATATATGAACATGTTGCTATACACTTGGGTATATATGTATATATCGTGGTCGTACTACAAGTAGCGGGGGCGTATAAGTGTTGATGGGGGAGCGTCAAAATAAATGAACAGCGAAACCCTTGAGAACAAATATGCATTCATATACAGATATCCAAATACAAGTCATACACTTGTAAGAGTCTACTGAAAATGTGTGATTAATCAATTAAATATTATAGTTATTCATAAATTTTAATTTTTTTTTTCATTGTCACTAATAAAAATAATATGAAAATAAATTCAAAATTTAATTCTTTAATAGAAATTAATCACGTAATTCATTGATTAATTGACTAAAATATTATATTCAATACAACAACAAACAAATAATTTTGCTTATCCAGTTGAATAACTGTTGAGTAATATTTAATAGGATTTCAGATTAAGATCAATTTTAAGCCAAAACTAAAATATCTGAAAATCTGAAAATCTTCATTACAGAGGAGATACTTTTTAGACAAAATTTCGACAGTCCTTTGCGAATCTTTTTCTTTTCAGAAATAAGAAATTTTCCTTTTTTGCGATTTAGTGACGGTTCATAATCATATCTTTCACTTCTACCACGTTTTCATCGGTTATTGAAGTCCTGTGGCATTCGTCATCATCAACGTCTTTACGGCCTGCTTAGAAACGCTTATACCTCGTACTTCGCAGGCTCACCACAACTCTTTATTAGCATTTTTCAAACTTGATTACAGTTGGTACACCTTTTTAACCTAAAACTAAATAAAAACCTTCGATCCATTTTTTTAAACAAACAGATATCGCTGAGCTCAAAAAAGAAGTCTTACTATAGTGGCTGTCACACACCAAATCACTGACATACATACCAAAAAAAAAATAAAAAAAAAAATTTGGAAAATCTAATTTTGCTAAGTCTAAAACTTTTTATGTTCTCGGGTACAGACTCTCTAATGGCAAGGTATTCAATGAGGAGATTTCTTTGTTATTGGCTAATTATTCTTTGAGCTAGCGGCAACCAAGCAACCGTATAAAGCTCCTTACCAAGCAAGGAAAATCAGTTTATTTAATCAAAGAACTTAAGTTGAACTAAGGACAGCGCATGATGAGTGCCGATAATGCTCACCTCTATTAACCGTTCTCAAAAATAAAAAAAAAAGAGCTGAGGGATAAAAAATTTGTCAAGGATGTTGAAATCAAGGAGACAGTTTTAGCGTTATTTGGAGATGAAAAGACTCCACTTTTTTTTAATTTTTGCAAGATTTGTAGAATAGTATCAGCAATCTTTTTTTTTTTATTTTCTTCCCCTACCGCTATTACGCGACGAAGTAACGAATTTTCCGAGCACCTTTCATCTTGGCTCAGGGTCAAGTCATACCAGCGAAAGTTCGCGAGTTCATTCAATTAAATGTCTGTAAGCTTCCACTACAATAGCAATATGATATCCGTATAACATATATCG